GAGCGTGCAGCCGATGGGGCGCACGGGAAGGGAGGCACGAGCCCGGATGGCGAGCGATGGCACTCGCCTTTTCCCCCGAGCAAAACTCGCCGGATACAGGATGGGGAACACTGGAGAAGGTGATAGAGAGGCCGTTGGATACGTTTTCTTATCCCTAAATAGCAATATTGGATCTCACAGAGAGATTTAGAACATCCTCTTGGAGATGCTCTAAGAACTTTCGATATTACATCTGTGTTTTCTTACGTAATTAAAACCAACACAAATCAAGCTGGGAATCTTAAAACTATCAATCAAAACAAGGAAATATGCATCAACATACTATATTCCATGCCAAAAATATTGAAAATGCTTACATTTATTTGTTAATATCGGTACAAATAGTAAATAGTCACAAAATAATGTAGATTTAACCGGAAGCAATATCTAAGCCGGGTGTCGTACGAGTAAAAGTGCAAGGGGGATCCCCTAGTTGAGGGGAGGAAAAAGAGGAGACGGAAATGGTGCCCCTAACCGTGGTGGAGGAAGTGGAGGACTAGAAGGTGCAACGCCCTTTCGAGGGGGTGGGAGAATAGGAGTGCGAGGGGGCTGGACAAGAGGAGATGGAAGAGGTACCCCTAACCGTGGTGCAGGAATTGGAGGAGTGGAAGGTGGGATGCCCTTCCAAGTGGGAGGAATAACAGGAGACGGAATGGGTGCCTTAGACCGCGGTGTAGGAGGTGGAGTGCGCTTCCGACGGGGAGGAAGTACAGGAGCACGAGGTCGAGGAAGAAGAGGGGACGGGAGGGGTGCCCATAATCTTGGTGTAGGAAGTGGAGGAGTGGAAGGTGGAGCACCCTTCCGACGGGGAGGAAGTACAGGAGCACGAGCTGGAGGAGGGCACGGGAGGGGTTTCCCTAGCATGGTGTAGGAAGGAAGAGGAGTAGAAGGTGGAGGGCCTTCCCTAAGTACAGCACGAGGTCGAGGAAGAAGAGGGGACGGGAGGTGCCCCCCTTGGTGTAGGAAGTGGAGGAGTGGAAGGTGGAGCACCCTTCCGACGGGGAGGAAGTACAGGAGTACGAGCTGGAGGAGGGCACGGGAGGGGTTTCCCTAATTGTGGTGTAGGAAGTGGAGGAGTAGAAGGTGGAGCGCCCTTCCGACGGGGAGGAAGTACAGGAGCACGAGCTGGAGGAGGGCATGGGAGGGGTTTCCCTAATTGTGGTGTAGGAAGTGGAGGAGTGGAAGGTGGAGCGCCCTTCGACGGGGAGGAAGTACAGGAGCACGAGCTGGAGGAGGGCATGGGAGGGGTTTCCCTAATTGTGGTGTAGGAAGTGGAGGAGTGGAAGGTGGAGCGCCCTTCCGACGGGGAGGAAGTACAGGAGCACGAGCTGGAGGAAGAGGAGAGGACGGGAGGGGTGCCCCTAACCGTGGTGCTGGAAGTGGAGTAGAAGGTGGAACACCCTTCCAAGGGGGAGTTAGAATAGGACCGCGGGAGGGAGCCCCCAACCGAGGATTAGGAGGAACAGGGGTAGGAAGAGGTGCTCCCAACTGCGGGGGACGAACAGGAGGTGTGGGAGGTGGAACACCTACCTGAGGAGAAGGAAGAATAGGACTACGAGGGGGTGCTCCTAGCCGTGGAGGAACACGAGCTGGAGAAGGTGCCCCCAACCATGGACGAGGAAGAGGAGTTAGAGGCGGAGTGCCTATCCAAGGGGAAGGAACAAGAGGAGTGCGAGCAGGGGCCCCAAGACCCGGAGGACGAGGAGTCGGAGAGGGTGCACGTAGCCATGGAAGAGGTAGAGGAGTGGGAGGTGGAGCTATGACAACACTAGTTGTGATAATGCCACGAGCGAGGACGAGCAATACAGTGATCAAGAGATGTCCTAGCAATGAAAGGGTAGTGCACGCCATGCTTTTGGAAAGAGAAGCTAGGCATGTGGTGTGCGATGTCGGGAACACACTACGATAAATATATAGTGTTGGTCATCTCATATCCACCAAGTGACTTCGTCGTCTAAATGGGAGTCAGACCCGTGCATGCAAGGCCAAATAGGAGATCCACATCCTTGTCCATGGAAAATCTCACAACTGAGTAGTGATGCGAAACATCCGGTCCTCATATATAATGTTGGTCACCTCATATCCACCAAGTGACTTCATCGTCTAAATGACACTCGGATATGTGCATGCAAGACCAAATAGGAGACCCAGATCCATGTCAATGGAAATCTCACAACTAGGCAGTGATGCGAAACATCCGGTCGTGACCATGGGTTGAGGCCAATGCTAGGTGCCGATATATACTCCAATTGTCTTAAAATAAACCAGCCCCATATAGTAGACAATTCTATATATCGGATTAGATATTGAATCTAACCTAGGAATAAAAAAAATTACAATACATTATCACGGGCCATCCGATTCGACCTGACCCAAGTGGGGGCCCTGTTCGCCTAGTAGTGTCCTGCGTCTATAAAAGTGAAAACCATACCACCATGGTGACTCATCGCGGTAGATCTTCATTAAACTTGTACTAATGTCTAGAAAAATCACAATAACATACAATTTAGCCATTTAGGATGGAGGGAGTACTACATGCGTACATGGTACCACGCTGGTTTTTTGACTGCAGCACTCGCCAACCGGCAAATGGCTTTAATTTGCAGCCGCTGGATCATCTATCAGCGCATGCATGGAAGCAGTCTGACAAGTAAGCATTTTTCATCTGGACCTGGGCTGCTGCTTCACAATCATGACTGAGCAGTGCGCGTGGTGCGCGTGGTAGTCGCTGACGCTCCCCAGCAGCGCCTCCGGACGGCGCCGTAGGCATGGCTGCCCAACACCAGCAGCGGGTCCGCGCGTCGCTGCTCCGCCGCGCTGCACGTACAGCACGTACCTGGGCTCGCCTTCCACCGCCTCAATCAGGACGTGGTGCACCGAGTTGCAAAGCAGACGCGGCGCGCCCTGTCGACGACAGCCTCGGCCATTAAAACATTATTTTTGATGTCAGCATAAATATTTATGATGGCAACAATAATTTTTGTAAAAAGAAAGATATAAAACTCAACTTGGGGAACGTTGGTAGGGACCTTTGTGCGATTAGCTAGCTATAGACAAGACGGCGTAGCAGATTGCACCGTAACGTGTCCATGGATATCTAATGTCCCGTTTGGATCCATAGAACTAATAACTAATTGACTAATTTTTAATTCCTTATTGCATCTTTCATTGATACTAGATATCCTTTTATATATGTAGTTAAACTTAATATTAACTAACTTGTCTAAAAGGAAGATGTGTATTATTTTTTTAGGAACTGAGAAAATAAGCAGATCACCACTGTGGGCATGTTTGATGTGGAGGGTAGGGGTGAGTCAAACTCGCGCTTCCACGCCGAAGCGAACCGGGCCGCCAAAAAACAGACTTCCTCGTCGTTTCCTGGGAGGCAAGAGAGAGTGTCTTTTGCACCCGGCCGGCCTGGCTCGCGAGTGGGCTCGGGATATCAAACATGCGAGGTTGTAGCTCAGGAGCGCAGGAACACCCAGGGCTCCATATCAAACAGGCCCTGAATGTCTAAATGGATCATCAGTATATGTACTTTCTCCGTCCCCAGAAGAGTAACATTTTTTTTTTTCGACATCATGTTTGACTGTTTGTCTTATTAAAAAAATTTATGTAAATTATAAAATAAATAAATCATTATTAAAGTATCTAAGTCATAATAAAATAGATGATATTTATATAAATTTTTTGAATAAGATGAATGGTCAAACAAGTTAAAAACGATGCTCTTTTGGGACGGAGGGAGTATATCGTGTAAACATTGCCCATTCTGTAGCCTGCATAACGATGATATCGACTACTCTCTCCATCCCTAAATGTTTGTGGTTTTTGTTTCCCAAGAAACAACTTTCACTAAATATATATTAAAAATATTTATATTTATGACACATAATTAGTATCATTGAATATATATTTGAATCTAGTTTGTTAACAAATTTATTTGGACACACAAAATGTTGCACGTATTTTTTTATAAATCGAGTCAAACTTATCAGCACGTAAACCGTGGCGACGTATAGTAGTCACACGATGCGATGCGATCCAACTCGAAACGCATGCGATGGACACGTACTAGTCTCGTCAGCATCCTACTGTCTATTCCATCCCTTACCTTTTGTTTCCTCAGAACGAAACGATTATTCCAAATGCGCACAAGGCAAAGTCCGGCCAGATAGTATACAACAATAATATAATAAATAATACTGCCGGTCCGGTCTTGGTCCTCGATTCATTCACGCTAACACGTGCATGCATGGTCTACGATCGCGTGTATAATCGAAGAAGGCGGCACTCAACTTTGCCTTTTTGAGGCGGCGGCGGCGACGACGACGACGACGATAAATGTAATGGCGTGTGGACGACGATCAACGCATGGCTTCGTGGGGTTTACTCGGAATTAACGTAACTCTCTGCTTCTGCCCCCAAGAGGAAAGATGTTTGTAGACAAGATAAATACTCAATCCCGGTTGGGAGGCATCCCAAAAGCAAAAGCTCTTGAGGAAAGAGAAATGAGGATATACACACACACTGAACGTGCAGGTTCCGTTTTGGCATGCAAAGCCGCTCGCGCACGCACCATGAACACAGGGGAAACCAAACCGGGAAAGCAAAGCTTCCCGACACGAAACGAACGGCTGGCGCGCGCGATGCGATGCGACCCGACCGCGCGAGTGGGGCGAATCCCAAATGAAATCCCACTGTCCGGCTGACCCGTCTCTCACGGGCCACCCCCACCCCTCCTCCTATATCGATCGATCGAGAAAAGTTATAAAAGCTCGCTCGGCCTGTGTGTTTGTTGCCTCCACCACGCACCTCCACTCCATGACTCCACCCAATCACTCCGCTTTTTAGCTTGGCCTTTCTTCCTCCATTCGCCATATCCGAGCCCCGCGTGAGTGACCCCACTTCTTCTTGCGGCGGCCGTAGCTCGCTAGCTTCCATCCCAGCCGCTGCCAGGCATGAAGTTCGGCAAGAAGTACGAGGCGTACATGAGGGGTATGGAGGCGGAGCTCCCCGCCGTCGGGATCAAGCGCCTCAAGAAGATGCTCAAGACATGCCGCCGCTCGCCTCGGCCTTCCGCCGCCGCAGCAGCCGATGATGCCACCAGCAGCGACCGCCGGTGCACTGGCCATTGCACTGGTAAAACCACAGCTATTATCTCTCTCTAGCTTTTGCTGTTCGTGAATCGTGATTTTCCGTTCTTCCTTTCGTCCAATTTCAATTTCGATCGATTGCTTTTGTTACGCAGCAAAGCCCCGCTTTAAACAAATAAAAAAAAAATCTTTGCTTGGCTTCAGCAAAAGGACAAGAAATCTTCAATTGCGCATGCAGGATCACAATTCACTGCAAGCCTACGTTACAAGACTAGAACTGGTCCTTGTCCAGGTGGCAATACTTTTCGCATTGTGGCTGCATTATGCAGGCTGCTTGCTGGTTAAGCGCGTGTTTAGTGGGGTGAATTTGAGAATTTAGGCTACTGTAGCATTTTCGTTTTTATTTAACAATTAGTGTTCAATCATGAACTAATTAGGCTCAAAACGTTCATCTCGTAATTTCCAACCATACTATGCAATTAGTTTTTTTCGTCTACATTTAATGCTCCATGCACGTATCGTAAGATTCGATGTGATGGACACTGTAGCACTTTTTAAGAATTTGGGTTAAACTAAACACGCGCTAATTTGGGCCGCTTGGCAAATTTGGCACGGAACACGTCCCCTGTTGGCTGTTGGCGCCTGCAGCCACCGGCTGGCCGGTTCTCTGTTTGGTTTTGGTGTCTTGTCTTGATCGACAAAGTCCGTCCATCCTAGCTTGTCTTGTCTTGGTAAACGGTGTCCGTCTGCAACCATTGGCCGCCTAGGTCTTAGTAACTGTTAAACAAATTCCAAGTGCTTACACTCTTTTCTTTCCAGTGCACGCATTGTTTTTTTTTAGCTTTGGCTTTAGCGATGAGTTGAACCACGCATTGTTCTGACTTGTTTCACCTGATTTTGGGACGACTTCGGTAAGGCTTCAATGCCCCCAAAACATAGAACTGTATTCACTAGAGTTGACATGATGACCATCTTTTCTGTATATTGCCTGTCATGGACTCACGGATGGTTCGCTGACGAATTCGTAACTCCATTTTCATATGCAGTGTGTGATGGGAGCTTCTTTCCGTCTCTTCTGAACGAGATGTCAGCTGTGGTCGGCTGCTTCAACGAGAAAGCCAAGAAGCTGCTCGAACTGCACCTGGCGTCAGGCTTAAAGAAATACACCATGTGCTTCACCAGCAAGGGTGACAAGAGCCACGGGAGGTTGATACAGCAGGGCAAAGACTTGGTTACTTATGCGATTATAAACGCCGTGGTCATGAGGAAGATTCTCAAGAAGTATGACAAGGCATGGCATTCTCAACTCGACCATCTTGTCTTTTCATTTATCGAATAATACTCCTACTACCTGAGAAAACCGTGTAGCACTTTGATTCTTCTTAACGTATAAGTATTCTCAAGAAGTATGACAAGGCATGGCATTCTCAACTCGACCATCTTGTCTTTTCATTTATCGAATAATACTCCTACTACCTGAGAAAACCGTGTAGCACTTTGATTCTTCTTAACGTATAAGTACTGTAAGGGGCCGTTTGGATTCTTTTATCTAGAAGAATTAATTCTACTTAATAAACTAGGCTACTGGTTTGTAATTTAACATTCCACCACATTACAAAGTTCACATGTAAGCATATCTCAAATTTATAGGGTGAGAGATGAAAATTGATTCTATAGATTACAATGCTGTGTTTTTACTTTGCAACTTATACCATGCTCTTTAATTCGCTCTCCTACAGTAGAAATGCAACACATAAGTATCTTTCTGGTGTAGCCAACAATAATATACAAATATAATCCATATACAACCCTATTAGCTTAATTAATATGTGTCTAAATTATGATTATTAAAATGAATTCAATTCAAAGATCCAAATAGGGCCTAATAGAAAAAGGATAGTAACTATAAGTATCCTGCATGCATTTTTCAGTCCTACTACAAGGCAAATTTGCGTGCTTTTACCAGAAACTTATTGCAAAGTGCATAAGGTGCTATAGGGTGTGTGTTATCAGGATACATTAACAGTATGTTTCAGACGCATTACAAAAAAAAATCAGTAACTGCATAGGAGCTAATTAAATCCATCAAATGCATATTTCAGCTGGATTGCAAAAAAAAAAAAATCAGTAACTGGATAGGATCTAACTAAATCCATAAAAAAAATTGAACTTATTGCAGAGCGCTGCCCTTCAATTAAGAAGAGAATAGAAGTTCTGGTTACCGATTACAAATTACGAACTATTAGAGTTTGATGAAAAGAATTCGACATACAGTAATAAAAGCAATTAAACGGTGCAGCGCTAAGGGGATGCAAGTTTTCTCTAATGAGAGGTGTGGCACACGCCCGATGCCGAAGCAAGATGTCCTGCTTGATGAGCTCGAAGACTTGATCTGCTCGCAAAGCTTTGGATTCAAATATTCTCCGATTCCTCTCCTTCCATAAGTTTCAGGTCGCGTACATTAACATTGCCGCTGCCGATCTTTTCTCTTTGCCCTTCAATGGCTGTAACGTTTGATTCCACCAATCTTGGATAGCCGTTGCAACTGTTGAGAGAAAGCCGGCACCCCACCCCATCCAATTGCCAATCAGGAACCACACCTCCCTTGCAAAGTAGCATTGCAGACACAGATGGCATGCAGTTTCAGGCTCTTGGTCACATAAAGGGCAGGTTGCTGGACCTTGCCAATTCCTGGCCGATAGCAGGTCGGCCGTCAAGATTTTCCTTTGTAGCAGAACCCAGGCAAAGAATTTAATCTTCCCCTCAGCAAATGCTTTCCAGACTTTATGCTGGCTGCCATCTGAGTAGGTGCCTTGCAGTTGCATCTTGTATGCCGATTTGGTTGTGTACGATCCATCAATCAAATGCATGTTTCAGCTGGATTACAAAAAAATTCAGTAACTGGATAGGAGCTAACTAAATCCATCAATCAAATGCATATCTATATTTGCATTTCAGATTATAATAATAACTTGATACGAATAGGTAATCACAGAGAATTTATGAAAAGCAACTCTTTTGCAGATACATTACTCAAAGCAAGGGCAAGAATTCAAAGCTCAAGCTCAGAGCCTCCACATTGAGATACTTCAGTCCCCATGGCTCTGTGAGCTGATGGCATTCTACATGAACTTGAGGAGGAGCAAGAAGAACAAAGCTGCTGCAATGGAGCTCTTTGGCGACTGTTCCCTCGTATTCGATGATGACAGGCCAACGCTCTCATGCAACCTCTTTGACTCCATGCGTGTTGATATTAGTTTGACATGTTCTATATGCTTGGTGAGTTGCACTTCTGACAATTACAGTGCTATTTTGCCCTTGTTATGTTATTCAAGTTTTCGAGGTTCCCCGTCCTCTCTATTTAAAATTCATAACCAAACTCTTGATTCTTCATATTTTTATTTACAGGATACAGTGTTTGATCCAGTCTCGCTTTCCTGTGGCCACATATTCTGCTACTTATGCTGTTGTTCTGCTGCATCTGTGACAATTGTTGATGGGCTGAAGTCTGCAGACCACAAATCAAAATGTCCCCTATGCCGACAGGTAAATAATTTATCACTTATTTCAATGAGCAGATACTTGAGCATCATCTAGCCAACCATTCTAATCCCGTTTCAGCAAGGGGTCTTTCCTGACGCTATGCACCTGGATGAACTCAACATGCTGTTGAGCCATAGGTAAGCATAAGGCCTTACAGCTTTCTGGGATTATATATGTATTACTCGTGTGTTGAATTTTCGATCTGTCAACAGTTGTCCAGAGTACTGGGAGAAGAGAATGCAATTGGAGCGAGTTGAACGTGTTCGCCTGGCTAAGGAGCATTGGGAGTCACAGTGCAGAGCATTTTTAGGCATCTAAATACTCAGCTTCTACTGGTGGAAAGATGATTTGATTTGTTAACATTGTTGTTGGTTAGATCTTGCTTTGTCACAAGTTTTTTTGTGAAATAATCTACCCTCTATTAGCATTCAATGTTCTGTCTTGTGCTCCTAGCTAGATGGAGAAAGAGAGAAGGTGGTTGGTTGTTCAAGTGCAGAGTTGCAAATGTGTATATATGTGGCCCTCTCAGTACAGCTTTATGATTTTTGCCTCAAAAGTTTGAAGTTGCTCCGAGGTGCTTCCTTTTACTACAGAGTATCTTACATCTTTTTTCTGGACCGGTTTAAGCCCATAACCACTGAATGTTTATATAGGTCGCAAAACTCATGAAACTAGGTGACGAGATCCTAACATACAGGTATGTTAAGCCTCGGGTTAAATGGTTCCCGAACGAAGAAGATCCCCCGACCGACCCCTTTAGGATCGCTCGGGGGCTACGCCCATCGGGCACGCTCGCGCGCAACCTCTGGCAAAGAGACCCGGCCGAGCCTGACTCGACCGCAGCCTCCGCCTGGGGCTCGGGGCTTCCCTGAGCCTTGGGCTCCCGATCTACGGCACGACCAAGCCCGGTCCTTGGCTCCTGCCCAGCTAACGATGCCAGCCAAGCCCCGGGCACAAGAAGACAAGCCCCAGGCTACTGATGCCCGGGGGCTCCCTGGCGTCGCTCCCTAGGCGTGCCGTTGCCAATTGCTCCTCCAACAGGGTCATGTCCAGGGCGTGACACAAGAAGACAAAGCTTCCCGCGGCCTCCGAGGACTTGGGGGCTTCCGGGCCCGCATGTCAGCCCCTGGAGCCGACCTCCTTCGCCACCAAGAAGTCTCTAGAAGGTCTCACCTAGGGGAGGCCGGTCCAAGCCGACACCCTCTGACACGCAGAGTGTCAGAACAGAGCAGCCGAACGACGCTCAGGCTTCTTCGGCTCCAAAACTCCTCGACGGTCCACGGCGCACCGCGGCAAGCCCCTCCTGGACTCCGGCGCACGTAGACTATACCCGATCTATCTCATTATATAAGGGATAAAGTCGGACCTAGAGGGGGGAGGATCTCGATTCGATCAACAAACACTCCATTTCATTCCATCTGCCTACGCTCTGCACCGAGAGCAAGGCAACCCAGAGAGGGGCACCGAGAGCCTCTCCTCCACCGCATCCCGTCGTCTCCTTCCTCTTCGACGAGGGGGAGACTCCACCGGTGGCAAAGCAACCTTAGAATTAGCACCGAGCTAACCCCCTATCAAACTCTCTTCCTTTACACTCTGTTGTAACCCCCAGATTTTGGGTGCTCTTGAGTGTAAGGATCATCAACTGTTGAACGTAGGGACTGAATTGGACCGAACCAAGATAAACTGTTGCGTCTTCTCTGCGTGATTCTTGTGTTCTTGAGTCCACCCGAGCCACCGGAGACCCCGTACTCTGATACCGACTCGAACAACATGCTTGCCGCGGTTTTGACCCCGGGCATTAGGTTCACAATTGTTTATCCATGCGCAACCAAAAACTTCCCAAATACATAAAACGCTGAAGAAGATTCACACTGGAGTCATGCAATCAATAGCTTTAGTTTTCACAACATATGTTATTGTCGGGGACCAATACTAGGGTACCCGAAGAGGAAGAGCTAATGGTCATCAACATTGATTCATCCGAGCAGTCAAGAGCACGACTAGAACTCCAACCGACCCCCAGGTGCGCGGGCTCCGCCTCGCCCGACCTTTAGGGGCGGGCTCCGCCTTGCCCAACCTCTGGGTCGGGGGCCCCGCCTCGCCCGACCTCTGGGTCGAGGGCCCCGCCTCGCCCGACCTCTGGGTCGGGGGCTCCGTCTCGCCCGACCCCTCAGGCGCGGCTCCTGACGGAAGCCCGTACCACCGCCAACCACTACGGGCCAGAAAGTACAACCCAAGGTCAAACTTCTGGCATCGTGCAGGGAGCGGGCACATCTAAACATGATCCGTGCTTGCGACATGTCACTCCAAGGAACTCACATCACCAACAGTGACGGATGCCTGGTCACTATGTTGCCTACTCCCTGTACGGCCGCTGACCAGCACGCTGGTTCGCCGCGTCACCCGTCGGGACGGAATGGGTCGTCACGACCCGCTGACGACACCGGGACGTGGCATCAGCGACGAACAGGCACCCGACGTGGAGCCGTCCCTGTCACCATTTGCAGTGTCGCACGGGACCCGCATAAAAGAGAAGAAAGGCCCGGCGGTCCTAGAAGCTTTCCTCTCCTTGGCTCTTCTCCCTCTTTCTCTCTATGTAACCTGCTCTTCCCCTTCATCTATAAAAGGAAAAGTAGGACACCCCAGAAGAGAGGACGGCGGTTCACCACTCTACACGGCTGTAACACATCAAAACACACGGCCTAACACGCCTTAGGAGCACACGCACATCATAGACTTGGGACCTGTCCCTCTCACGCTCGTTTGTAACCCCTACTAGAAACTTTCAGTGCTAGTAACACGAGCAGTAGCGACGAACTGGACGTAGGGACTTTCTATCTGAACCAGTATAAACCTCGTGTCCTCTAAGCATACCATCCGAGTCAGACGCGCAATACTAGAAATTTACTAGTTGGTAACTCGAAACTCTGACAGTTGGTGCGCCAGGTAGAGGCTTTTTGCGCGTCTCGACGTCCACATCAGGCCTCGGATGGCTACCAGTATAAACCTCGTGTCCTCTAAGCATACCATCCGAGCCAGACGCGCAATACTAGAAATTTACTAGTTGGTAACTCGAAACTCTGACAGTTGGCGCGCCAGGTAGAGGCTTTTTGCGCGTCTCGACGTCCACATCAGGCCTCGGATGGCTAGTCACGGCGTCAACTGGGTCCCGGGCACGAACGTGCGCTTCGGGAACCTGGACTTCATCGTCACAACGGGGGGAGAGTTGGTGCAGGCTCCCGTCGCCGTCCAACCTCTCCACTCCGCCGGCCCCGACGCGATCGCCGAGGCGCTTGAGGAGCTGCGGCTGCATGCACCGGAGGCCCGTGCCCCCGGGAACGACCAGGTCCTCGGCTTCGATTACGGGAGGCTAGAACGCCAGCTCATCGCCTTCCTGGGACCCCGACCGTCCCGGGGGGACTTAGGCCGCCTCACCTTCTCGTTCGCCAACGTCATGACGCGGCCTGCCGGAGGAGAGCCGCTTTCCCCGGAATACCTCATCCGGAGCGTCCCGACAGTGCTCCCGTTCGGTCTGCGCAACGCCGCCGAGACCGTTGGCCACCTTGTGACGCAACACACGCCCCCATCCCCCACGAACGACGAGTTCGTGGGGATGACCGAATATGTCGCGGAATCTTTCCACGACCTCCACGGAGGAGAATCAAAGTCGCCCTTCAACTCTAACTCCAGCATGGGAGCCATCACCCCTCTCGTGAATGTTTCATGGTAGGTACCCCTGAGGGGTACGTCGAAAGCATCCACGAGGGAGAGGCTACCCCAACGAACGGCTTCGACGATGAGGTCGAGGGGGATGCAGGGGCCCACCTCGCCTGCGGGTAGAGTAGCTGAAGGCCCGGCACCAAGAGCTCGAGAAAGCACGACTCCAGCTCGGATAGGAATGCGCGAAGCTCGAACGATAGATCGAACGCCACGGGGACGGTGGGCGTGCGCGCGCCGTGGCCCGCAACGTGAATTGGAGGATCGTTGAGGACGACGAAGCCCTCCCACACTTCACCCGGGCAGGCCAAAACATCGCTGCTGCGGCGGCCTTGCTCCGGGGGCTTCCGGGGCCTGCGACACCCGAGGATCGTCGGGCCCATCGCGAGATTCACACACTACTCGAGCATGCGGCGGCGCAACAGGCCGAGAGCTCGCTGTCCTGACGACGCGAGCTCGACGCCAGCCAGCGCGCGCCCTCAGAGCAACCCAACAAGGACGTGTCAGTCCACCAGGCGCAGCAAGGCGGTAGGCCGCGTGCCGCGGTCCCGGTGCATGAACTTCTCGGCCTCCACCGTGACGCGAGCGACACCCTCGACGCCCGCAGGTGTACCCGCGGCGATGCGAGGGAGGAGGCTAGCCGCGGCTACCACCCTCGTCATGGCGGACGCTATGACGGCGGCGAAGACCGAAGCCCGAGCCCCGACTTGCCGGGTCCTCAGGCCTTTGGCCGACACATCCTCAACGCCGTCTTCCCACCGCGGTACCGACCACCGACCAACATCCCGAAATATTCTGGGGAAACGAACCCCGGACTGTGGCTCGAGGATTATCGGCTTGCTAGCCAAGCCAGTGGAGCGGATAATGACGATTTCATTATCTGCAACCTTCCATTGTTCCTGGCCGATTCGGCACGAACGTGGTTGGAACACCTCCCGCCCAACCGAATACAAAGTTGGGCGGACTTAAAAGAGATCTTCGTGGGAAACTTTCAGGGTACATACGCGCGTCCTGTGAACCCATGGAATGTCAAAAACTGTCGACAGAAGTCCGGGAAAACTCTTCGTGGGTACAACCGGCGCATCTCCCGGCAGTGCAACGAGCTGCCCAACGTCACCGACGCCGACGTCATAGGAGCTTTTCTGTCTGGGACCACCTGTGAGTCCCTGGTTCACAAGTTGGGACGTAAGGGCCCGTGAACCATCAAGGAGCTCCTCGACATCGCCACCAGCCACGCCCCAGGCGAGGAGGCGGTTGGGGCGATTTTTGACCGCCTCAAAGGCAAGGCAAAGCGGGACGAGGACGCCGACGAAGGCGCCTCCATCCGTCCCAACAAAAAGAAGAACAAGCAGCGGTGCGAGGGCTCGCTCATGGTCACCGTCGACCGCAAAGGGGGTCGGAAGCCCGCCGAGGGTACCCCGGACCACTTCGAGAAGCTGCTCGAAGGGTCATGCCCGAACCATGCTTTCTCCGTCAAGCACCTATACAAAGACTGCGTCCTCATGAAGCGGTTCTTGTCCGGAGGCTCCAACAAGGGGGAGCATAGGAAGGAGCCCAAGCCGATCATAGACGACGCCGAGGGGAAGGACGGTGGATTTTCGGCGTTGGATGGCTGCCTCATGATCTTCGGAGGGTCGGCGGCCTACGACTCCAAGCGCCGCTAGAAGCTTGCGCGCCACGAGGTCTATACGGCCGAGCCGGCCGTGCCTACCTTACTCCAATGGTCGGAGTCCGCCATAATCTTTGATCGGACCGACCACCCGGAAAGTGTCCCACAGCCGGAAAGATATCCGCTCGTGGTTGACCCAATCATCGGCACGAAGCGGCTCACCAAAGTGCTGATGGATGGAGGCAGCGGCCTGAACATCATGTACGCTGAAACGCTCGACGCCATGGGCATCGACCAAGCGCGCATCCGGCCGACCGGGGCGCCTTCCACGGCATCGTGCCAGGAAAGCAGGCCGTACCACTCGGGCAGATCGATCTGCCCGTCAGCTTCGGGGATCCGACCAATTACAGGACGGAGACCCTTACCTTCGAGATGGTCGGGTTCCACGGAACCTACCACGCCATCATGGGACGTTCATGCTACGCAAAGTTTATGGTCGTCCCCAACTACACATCTCTCTCTAAAGTTGAAGATGCTGAGTCCACGCGGGGTCATCACCATCGGCACCTCCTTCCAGCGTGCCTACGAGTGCGAGGTCGAGTGATGCGAACACGCCGCGGCAATTGTCGCCTCCAAAGAGCTTGCGGCCATCAGGGAGGAGATCGTCGAAGAAACGTCCGACCCTAAGCGGTCGGCCGGGTCTTTCGAGCCTGTAGAAGGCACCAAAGAGGTCCTCATAGACCCCAGCGGCTCTGAGGGCAAAGTGGTGCGCATTGGCACCACGCTTTCCTCCGAATAGGAAAGCGCGATCGTCGACTTCCTCCGCGCCAACAGAGACATCTTTGTGTGGAGACCCTTGGACATGTCAGGCATTCCGAAAGAAGTCGCCGAGCACGCCTTGAAGATCAGGCCAGGCTCCACGCCGGTAAAGCAGCGCCTGCGTCGCTTCGACGAGGAGAAACGCAGGGCCATCGGCAAGGAGAAGACCGCGACGGACGAGGCCCTCCATGCGCTGGAAGGTGATGTCGAAACGACACCACAGATCCATTGGAGGTGGGGGCGGATGGATGCGAGCTCAACGACGGCGGAGATGCGGAGGCAGGAAACCTAAGCGCTGGCGGCGGCGGCATGGCTGCGGAGGGGCGACGGGTGCGAGGAAACCAACCGCCTGCCTAGATCTCCGCGCCTGCCACGACCTGTCACCACGTCTCGTCGCGGGGCGTGCGCACGCAACCTATGGCCATCCCCTCGGAAAACGCGCCGGACGTTTCGCCTCCCCGAACGGGTCATGACCCGTCACAGGTAACAGGGATACGGAGCTGAAAACGCTCCTACGGCCCGTCTAGGCCCAGGAGTTCGAAGGTTGGCCCACCGACGGGTTCGACAACTGCTCCGGGCAACTTTAGAGTGAGGGGTGGAAAGGAATGGGACCGTTAGCGGCCAGTACCCGGGCGCACGAGGGCCGCGGGCATCCCAGCCCACATTCGAGTCTCAGCCGGATACGATACATGGTTTTTCCTCGAAGAAAGGCTGAGAGCCCTCGGGACCGGTCGAACGGACCCGAGAACTATATGGATTGACCGCTGAGAATCTGGAGTCGGTCACCAACTGACCCAAGCCGGACTCCCGCGAACGGGATGCCGGGGCCCCACTCGGACTAGCCCGTTAACAGCTCATCGAGCACCATAATTCGTCCATAGAGGAAAATCATGGCACGGCACAGCCCCTCCGTTTTTATCGGAAAAAACGCTTGAGGGAAGACGATTACAAAGACGAGCCGACCTGCGACCAGACCCCTGCTACGGGCGGGGGCTCGAGGAAAGTTGGACTCGCAGAACGACAAACCCCCGTAGGGGTCGGAATCAGGAAAGACCTTTTCCGACCTACCAAATCTCACGGCTATACCCCCTAGGGGTCCGATCATGACGAAAGGGAATCGCCGCCCCCAGGACATGCCGTGGGCGACAAAAGAAGGCCAAGGCCCTCAGAGTCCTCCCGTTCAGAAAAGCCTCCAAAGGAGTATTCTACTCCTCCGTAGACTCGGGGGCTACTGTCGGGGACCAATACTAGGGTACCCAAAGAGAAGGAGCTAATGGCCATCAACATTGATTCATCCGAGCAGTCAAAAGGACGACTACAGCTCCAACCAACCCACAGGTGCGCAGGCTCCGCCTCGCCCGACCTCTGGGTCGGGGGCTACGCCTCGCCGGACCCCTCAGGTGCGGCTCCTAATGGAAGCCCGTACCGCCACCAACCACTACGGGCCAGAAAGTACAACCTAAGGTCAAACTTTTGGCATCGTGCAGAGAGCGGGCACATCTCAACATAACCCGTGCCCGCGACATGTCACTCCAGGGAACTCACATCACCAACAGTGACGGACGCGTGGTCACTATGCTGTCTATTCCCTGTACGGCCGCTAACCAGCACGCTGGTTCGCCACGTCGCCCGTCGGGACGGAATGGGATGTCACGACCCGCTAACAACGCCGGGGCATGGCATCGGCGGCGAACAGGTGCCCGGCGTGGAGCCGTCCCTATCACCATCTACAGTGTCAGCGGGACCCGCATAAAGGAGAAGAAAGGCACGGCGGTCCTGGAAGCCTTTCTCTCCTTAGCTCTTCTCCCTCTTTCTCTCTGTGTAACCTGCTCTTCCCCTTCGTCTATAAAAAAGGAAGCAGGACGCCCCAGGAGAGAGGACGGCGGTTCACCACTCTACACGGCTGTAGACATCAAAACACACGCCCTAACACGCCTTAGGAGCACACGCACATCAGACTTGGGACCTGTCCCTCTCTCGCTCGTTTGTAACCCCTACTACGAACTTTCAGTGCTGTAACACGAGCAGCAGCGACGAACTGGACGTAGGGATTTTCTGCCCGAACCAGTATAAACCTCGTGTTCTCTAAGCACACCATCCGAGCCAGACGCGCAATACTTAAAATTTACTAGTTGATAACTCGAAACACCGACAGTTATGTTTATTCCAAAGAAATAAACAAAACAAAACTAAGTGTCAGTTCCTTGTACTAACTTTAGTTAGCTCCAATGCAATTACATAGGTGTGACCATTTTGTTGAACTACTTCTGAACTCCTACATTTTCTGTAACCATGCATTGTTTTACCTTACCTCTCTTTTCCCTTTTCCCTAACAAAATCGGGTCCTATAAAAAAAATACATACCTACAAAGGTGTGGTGACATGGACTTGAATTCACACCAACAGCCTTAGAATCACATCTCTACTGTTTGAAAAGAAATACCTGACTTGAGAAAATGTCAAAGAATGGTGGCCATGAAAAGGTTATTCTTCAGTCAGCTCTTAATGTCATGATCTCTTTTGCTGTTCGGTTCCTAAAATACATCATGTGTTCCTGCAAACAACATTAAGACAAACATCAAGCTAAATAGAAACTTCTTAATCCGTAACACCACAGTGTATGATTGTACTCCTACATCAGTATTAAGTTCCATGCACCGACCAGTTCAACCCAAAAGCTTAAGCTGATGGGGAGAGGTGGGCAATTAACTTATATTCCAACACTCCCCCTCACATGGAGGCTCCCTCAGGCCTCAGACGTGGAATAGGAGCGAGCAACAATTATTTTATTTAATTGCGCTAACCAGGATTCGAACTCGAGACATCTGGCTCTAATACTATATTAAGTTACATGCACCGACCAGTTTAACCCAAAAGCTTAAGCTGATGGGGAGAGGTGGGCAATTAACTTATATTCCAACAATCAGAAGTTTAAGCTTCATATCAGCAAGTTAAAGTTCATTTTTAAGTATGACAAAACTCAAGCCCCTCAATCTAAGTATATCTAGTCAACTGAAATTACAGATATGTACGTATGTTTTTCACCAGTCAACTTTACCTGACTGAAAGATGGTTTGATACCTCTGCTATGGAAATCAATGTATTTAAGCATAAACATGCCACAGTCCCACCTATAACAAGAGAATAGGGTCAAAGATAGCCATGCCTGCCCATTAATGTGCACCACATGAATTGAAAATAAAAAAATACTTGGATGTTGAAAATCCAGTAACCCGTTGACTGGAATTTAATACTTTATATAAATTCATTTCTTAATCAAATCAATCAGCGTCCACATGCTGAATTTTGTGGTGATTAGTACTAGAAGAAAGGTTACCCATTCTGCTGCAAGGGGAGAGACTCTGACACTACCACCCACGAACTAGGGTCTACCTCTAAGTTACTCTTGTCCTTCAATTCATCCACGATGTATCTAGTCTGCCACAAACAGAAAAAAAAGTAACTGTAGAGCTTCAATCCAACATTAGAAATCTTGCAGGCGGGCCCTTTAATTTTGTGTTGGGTCCTTTTATGAAGAACAATGTACTTTGTACTTTTGTTTTTCTTGACAACGAATATCAGTTATATCTTAAAAAAAATAAAAGAAAGACATATACAATTATTACATTAATAATTTGCAAAGGCAACCCCATGCATTTCAGGCACTCTATTCTAAGAAAGTAAGAATAGTGTAACTTTCTGTTTGGTCAGATAAGCTTACCAGTACTTTCAGTACATCATGGCCCAAACCTCCTAGAGAATCAAGGTACTGCAATGTTTTATCCTTCATGTTTATAACTACCAAACACCAATGTACATTTCTATGCACTGGAACAAAGATCTGTAACATAAATTCTGACGGTAAGTTGGATGTGGGTAATAAGCATGAAACGGAGACAAGTCCAATAATAGGAAAAGGACAAAATAGCAATTTACTTTCTCACACTCGATGAGTCCATAACCCAACCTCTTGAACGTCGTCCATCTTCTAACAGACTGGTAATCATAACCAGCTATTCCGCAAGTAAGCTGAGCAATAATTCAGAAGTCATGAGGCCTGCTAGTGCTGGGTGCTAGCCATATGCTAGAACATGTGAGAAAAATTAACTTGTAACTTAAAGGAAGAGTTAACCTCCACCAAAATGCAGGTGTTCTAACTAGGCTCAGAGGAATGCTAAGATACATTACAGGAATGTTACGAATTTATTATCCTTGCTTGTAAACTAGGTGTTAAAAAAAAGTAAGTGAATTTAGAGCCTAAAAGAGGAACGATGACACTAATTCATCAATATTAGCTTCTGAGAACTCCAGAAGAACAAGAAAATTGTTCAATTTAGCATAAGAAGATGAAACACATGCATTGCCTGGCATTCCAGGCAAGGGTCTGGAATCACACTATGTGCATTGATTAACATGAAAAGAGGCCATGTATTATATAGGAGATGCTTGCTCATAAGTAATTGTACGATCTTGTATACTTGCAAGCAAATTTCTAATATCAAGTTTGCTGCTATCAGATAACATCCATCTTTGGCAAGATATGAACCATTGATTAACCAATTATCAAATCCCGATTGGCAATGCATTTGCTTCCTATGCGGTATAAGACCATAAGTCTTAAATATAATATAATAGAACCAGCATTTCAAAAGACATTTATGCATGCAGTATGTGAAGCAAAAATCCAATACCTTCTTGTAGAAGAATGTATTGAAGAAATGGCATTTCAAAAACCTGTTGTGTTCCCTTTCTTCCCTCTCCTTTAACAGTTCAATGTACAAATTAATGACCTGCAAGCAGCGAAAAACACAATGTTAGAGATAGCACTAGGGATCCTAGCATCACATATTTTTGCTGAGTGATCATTAAAGATCTTTTGCAGAATTATCTTAGATGAAAAATAAATACTCAATGTATTTACCTCATCATTCAACCACCCACGAGGCCTCAAACATTGAAATTTCTCATTAGTAATCTCAATGTTAGAAGGCTCATGTATCACTATGACTTTATCACTACAAAAATAAGAGAGACCAGAATATCATTTGGTTGTGCCAGCAATATGAAGAAAAAAGTTCCATAACATGAGCATATGCTAAGTATACCTGTGATTCCTATTATACAACAGAGTATCAACTTCTCTTTCTTCTTTGTCACTTAGAGGTGTAAATAGTTCAGATAGATCCTGCAATAATCAAGTTTCAAAGTATATTATACATATGAAAAGTTGTTATAACAATTAAAACAACAGAAAACCAATAAGCCAGAGTACTAATTTACTCCCTCAGTTTTTAAATATGACATTTAGGAAAAGCTAAGTAATTAGTATATACTTAAAAACAGAGATAGCATGTATTAAACTACTAATTAAATATACCAAAGCAAAGCACCTTTGGGGAAAAATGATTTAATTTTTGCATTAAGTGTGCCTACAGAAAATTTAGGCTTAGAGAAAATTGCTACTCCTGTTCTGTTTGAAAAGCTCACAATTAGCCATTTTCGACAGGTGCTGTATTTCACAGAACTAAAGTTCTGAAAACACCAACACATTACCATTTTTTGCTATTCAAATAAAAAAAAAAAGGCCATGTATACATTGTTCAGTAAACTCCATGAGAATTAAGATTAAAATGGTAACCTCCTTGGGTGTAGTGTCCAGAGGATCAGGCAGCTCGGCAAGTCTGAGCTTCCCAAGTCCTGACTCATGTAATCTTCCACCGCGCTTCTTCGTCCACTGAAGTGCCTTGTAGAACATCGCCTTCTTCTCCAGCGACCTTGATGATCCCAGTGCAGGGCCGCTCCAGTCGCCAATTCGCCTCCCCAGGACATCGATATTTTCAAGCTCTGGCTCCACTGTGAGATCCACCACTTCCGGCGACCCATCGAGCCGCTTTACTTAGGGGCCGCTGCGCATTCACGATAATTTTATTATCTGATATTATATTATCACCGTCGCTGGTGCTTTTATAATCCCTCTTAATATAAATAAAAAATATTAAGTTATACTACTAATTTTTTTTGTTGTCAAACATTGGGGGGGGCCATGGCCCCTGCCAGCCCCCCCCTGGCTCCGCCAGTGCCCATATCTACCTCCGCGGGTTTCCGGCGACGGCGAGGGGCTAATCCGCTGGTCGTGAGGAGGAAATGGAGTGCGAATGGACCAAGGACTGGGAAGTGCCTGACCCTGGGAAGCAGACTGCTACGGCTGCGGCGGCGACGGGGAGTGGAGACGGCGTGGTGGGCGTCGTCGACGAGAAGCTTGCGGCGGCGGCGCGGGGAGGTGGATAGCAGTCGGAGGGCGGGGAACGGTACGGGGCGGCGGCGGCGGCGGCTGCGGCGGCGGCAGAGGCGAGATGAGGAGGTGGCGTCGTCGTGGCGGCGCTTGTGGGGGGCGATGGCGATCGTGCGGAGAGCGAAGGACCGAACGGTCTGGAACAAGTTGGGGACGATGGTGAGGCGGCGGCGGCGGCGAGGTGAGGAGGCGCCCTCGTGGGCATCGGCGTGGCGGCGCTTGCGGCAGCTGTGGGCTGCAGCGCTGTTCATGACGCTGCTGAGTGACGGCGCATGGGACGGTAGCTGGGAAGGCTGGCGGCGGCGTTGTAAGGGTGCGGGCGGCGGGAGGCGGGCGCCGGCCACCGGGGTGGGGATTTGAATCGGGAACAGCAGATTTGGCGAGACGAGGTAAAAGTTGGAGTGTGTTCGGCTCAAGATCCTACTACAGTATATCGTGTGAGCCCGTGACCGTGACAGCAAAATGGTAAAAAAAAAATCCCTGCTAGGTACTCCCTTGGTCTTAGAAAATTCAATTATTACGATTTCATTTAAAAAGTTAAATATTTTTAAATTTAATTAAGTCACTAAAAGAATACGCTCGTTGTAGTCACATCTCTACAGTCTAGCAAACTTGAAGCTCACACCGATTAGTGGTTCGACAAAAAAAAAAGATTTAACACGATTACTCTGTTATTGCATATCCTATCCGATGATGGAGCTAGCAAATGAGGCTAGCAAGGGCTCTTTCTTTGTTCCCGTTTCATTTGTTCTCTCTTTCCTCCTTGAGACTTTTCCCTGTGTGCCATTATAAAAGATCGCAATTCCTTATGTGCCCCTAGAAAAATTCAGCGGTCTTCAGCGCCACTACTCCAACTTTTTCGGGTCCTCCATGCCACTTCCGTCAGTTCAGGCTCTAACGCCGTCAAACAGCAGGTGTGAAAAGACGAAAATGCCCTTAAGTTCAAATATGTTATTAATTTTTTTTGAGCATCTTAACGACTTCAAATGAAAAAACTCAAAACTAGAAAGTTGTAGATCTCGTCGAGATCTATAATTTTCATATAAAAATTATTTTCATTTAATTCCGCAAAAAAATATGATTTGATATGATTAATATATCTTAGAAAAATCATCATATTTTTTTTGCGAAATTAAATGAAAATAAATTTTATATGAAAATTATAGATCTCGACGAGATCTACAATTTTCTAGTTTTGAGTTTTTTCATTTGAAGTCGTTAAGATGCTCAAAAAAAATTAATAACATATTTGAACTTAAGGGCATTTTCGTCTTTTCACACCTGCTGTTTGACGGCGTTAGAGCCTGAACTGACGGAAGTGGCATGGAGGACCCGAAAAAGTTGGAGTAGTGGCGCTGAAGACCGCTGAATTTTTTCAGGGGCGCAGAAGGGATTACGATCTTTTATAATGGCACACGGGGAAAAGTCTCTTCCTCCTTCCTCGTCTTTCTTCGTTCTTTATCTTTCGAAATGGAGGAGAGGTTAGAAGAGCTCCATTGCTTGTGGGGTAGTAGGATCTGCCCCTGTTTATTAGGGCTCCGTTCGCTGGGAGGAATTTGGATGAATTTAGATGAATCTGGAGGAATTTGTGATAGGAAAACACGGTTCCAGATAGAAAAAAAAAACAAATTAAACCGGATATAAGGACACGCGAACAGAGTCTATGAGTTTATAACTATGACCATGTGGTATGTTTCCACATGGCTAAGATGGAGGAGATGGAAGGCTCTGCCAAAGATAAACCTGCCTATTTTACCATAGAGTTCTGTGCTAGGAATGCAATAGCTTTTAGGTAAAGCCTATGGCACTAAGAGCACGCTTAATGTAGCATGTATTGTCTGTAGAACACACAAATATATGCCTCACCTGACTTTGTATAGAAGTGCTCACTGAAGCAAACACACAGAGACAGGTAAGCACCCGCACTACTTGTTTTCTCTAGTCCACTAACACCCATCCCTCAAGGAGACCAGACACCGATTGAATGCACAGATTGAGAAAAAACAAAGAGAGTGGCGGAATTGGTGAGAAAAAAATATATATATGAGCGACTTGGGTTGGGAAAACAATGACCTCAATCTATCAAATTCTACGTGAAACTGTGCAAGACAGCCTTTTGCTGAGGTAGTTGATTTATATGTAGGTGTTGGTGGTGCTCTAATATCCCGTATCAGTTTTACAGCTATCTAAATCTACTCTTATCAAAGCAAATTACTTTGGCCGCTAACCAAGTGATCACCCTGAATTCTCCTGATCGTCTGATCTACCGTTGGACGTCCCAGATGTCCTAGAGCGGATTCTCGCCGGCAACCGCTTCTTCTGCTTCTGGTTACCTTCTCTGGCTTCTCCTCCGCTTCTCCTTAGAATCTAAAGAATCAAATATATACAATAGCTCCCATTTCTGCTTCCCGATTCTTCTTCTCGCCCCCCCCCCCTCTCTCTTTCTTCGCTCGCTCTTCCTCCCGACGCGGACAGCGGGGCGCGGCGGCGGCGCTCGCCCTCCTCCTCCTCCTCCCTCCCTCCCTCGCCTGCCTCTCCCTCCGTTTCTCCCTCCCCTTCCTCTCTCTCCTCTTCCCTCCCGATGCGGCAGCGGGCGGCGCGGCCGGCTCCCCGCGCTGCATGCGGTCGGCCTCGAGGCGATGCGCTGGCGCCTCCGCCGCTCCCTCCCCCACACTCACGTGTTCTTTCATAGTTGTTTTGTCTTCATCGGATTCTTTGCCTTCACTATTGCCTGTTCTAGGGTTAGGATTTTGGCTCAGCTCGTATGAAGAGTTCGTTCTAGGGTTACCCACCTTTAGGTATGAGGAGTTTCCCTGCAATTTTACCATGCATGTTGAAAGATTTCATAGATTCATTCATATGCCCAACCTGTGATGCTTATTTACTAGTTTCTGTGCAGGTCCCATGTAGTTGCAAGAAATTATTTTTCTCTTAGCTCAAATATGATGCTCTGGTATGCTCTACGAGTCTTGTGCCCTTTTGGTCTATGGTCTTATATTCATGTTCTTTGAAATTTGGGGTAAAATTGATAGTCGAGGCTTGTTGGAAAAAATTATTTTCCTCTTAGCTCAAATATGATGTGCTCTGTTATGCTCCACGAGTCCCACGTCCTTTTGGTCTATGGTCTTATATTCATGTTTTTTGAGATTTGGGATAAAATTGATAGTCGACGGTTTTAGTTTTTCATTTTTTTGGGACAACATCCACGTATCGCCACATCAATAAAAAAACTTCAGTATTGTGTACTCCTATATATAATGTTTTATTCTTCTCCGGTGTCAGAATATCTTAGGCTAACTAGATGACACGCTGTGCCTTGTTCCTTTTTAATTTATCCTAGTGCTCATATTTCCTACTCTCTTTATTCATGCTACTAGCTAAATATCTATTGGAGCAACTACATCAAACCACTCTACCACTGCATCCTGGTTCTATGGTGCCTCTTAACTCATGTACACACCTATATATAATGTTTCCTTCATTTTACGGTGGCAGCTAAAGGTCTAAAATATCTTAGGCTAAATAAATTACACACCATGCCTTATGTCTTTTTAACCTATCCCGATGCTCATGTATTCTGCTCTCTTCATTTATGCTTGTAGCTAAATGTCCAAAGTATCCTCTAACTATTATTAAATATCTTATCATATTTTTTTGGCTAATCTTTCTTTTTTATTGTTGGCAACAACTTCATCTACACATGGCAACATGCATAACAATACCGATTAGTGAGTTTGGGGAAGACAAACAAAGGGTTAGGAGCCAATATTTCCTCATCTCCCTACCTTTCATTGTCCATTGTTTATCTATTGTTTTCTTAAGTTGTTTTTTCCTTCGTTGATTCAAAGATAAGGGGATTGCAGCTGTGGACAAATTACTAGAAGAGAGATTAGCCTCAAAATTAATGTGCTCTGACACGAAAATTATAAGATCGCTTTTGGGGTGCTCTTGGACATGATGTATTCCATCTGTCTACCATTACTGTCTCAAATAAGAAAAAAATAGACTCTTCCTTTATATATATTGTTCACTGATACAAATGCTCGTTGTCCTTACGAATGACGACCTCAACTAGAAACATCTTCTCTATTTTATCTTTGGATTGGAACTGTTTTTATCTCTGGATTGGCTACATAAATTTAAATTATTGTTTTCTTTTTAACTTATTGCAGCCTAGTATTATGCAATCTGCAGCGGGCTTCATTGGGATTTCCACCCTGCTAATGCCTTTTCATGTCTCTCTTGCACCATTCAGTTAATTACTAGCTCATGGACATGTTCATTTGTTCTTTTCTTGCAGCTATTTTCAAAGTAGATTTCAGAACTGTTTCTATGTGTGGTGGGCTGGTGATGTTTTCTCGCACAGAACTATATGTGGTTCCACTTCTCCATATAGCTACACAATCCATTTGATGGCCTGGAGAAAACTGAGTGAGGAGTAAGAATCACAAGGTGCTTGATTTACAGGTTCGTAACTTGCTTCTTATCTCATTTGTGATACGAATTTTTACCGTGCATAGTGTGCAAATTGCTAATTTCAGAAAATTCAGTTTTCATGTACACAGTCGGTACAACTCTGCAATTTTGTTTGAGTTCTCCAATTTTGATGTTCTATGAACAAACCCTGTGTGAGATTGGATTACAGAGGTAACATGCCTTGTACTGTGATCTAGGCATTTTTTACTTGCTTTGGAAATTTTATTTTTACATAGTCATGATTGAACTGCTTTAGTATTTTTATCTTGGTGAAAATACTCTCTCGACTGCCCACCTTCTTGTATATCTACTATAGCCCTACAATTGCCTAATACATCTGCAATTTTCGATGTCTTCATCATTGGCAATAGATTTCGGTTGGCACCATTTTATTTTTACATAGTCATGATTGAACTGCTTTAATACTTTTATCTTGGTGAAAATACTCTATCTCTGCTGCCCATCTTCTTGTATATCTGCTATAGCCTGCAATTGCCTAATACATCTGCAATTTTTAATGTCTTTATCATCGGATTATCGGGTGGCTCTGTTTGATGTAGAACCACCTGGCGTTCCATCCTTTCAGAGAAGTATTCAGCGGTACATTGATGTACTCGCCGACCATCCCATCCCTGAGCTGTAGGTACACGCCGCCGACCACCTTGGAACCACTGCCGCCTTTCTTCTTCAGCCAGAACAGGTGCCTAAAGAGGTTGAAGTGTGGAAGAA